CATTAAGTGTCCAGTTTAAGGGTATTACACAGAAACACACCACAGGAACATGAATCAAATGTGTACTTTATTCATTTACAATAAATTCATAATGTACATAATTCTGATTGAAGCTAAGGGCATACAACTGTCTAACAAAAGTATCCCCCTTTGACATCAAGGGTGGAGTAGAAGTAGATGAACCATCTAAAAGTCTGATATGCCTTATGTGTGTACCTTTCTTCTAATTAGAACCACTTCCCTTTGGAGACCGAATGTTCAGTAATAGTATGCCCACGTTGCTTTGCAATAAGTACAAATGTTCTTACAATGTGAAACATGTCTAAACTCCTTACACTCATAACACTGAACATGGGAGACGTCTTTCTTGTTTTTAGGTTTAACAGCAAGAAAAACAACATCAAAGTTGGGATCCTTCTTCCCATCAAACATAAATTGTGTAACCAACCTTGTTTCCTCCCTCAGAAGTTCTCCAAGAATAGTATCCAGATCTGGTGTGGTACCTCTACTAAGAATATTTGACCTTACAACTTCATATTCCTGCCTAGATGCATAAAAAAATGCATAACTTTTCTCTTGTGAAAGTGTTTCTTCATAAACTTCACACAACAATCGGAAGGGCCCTCACCCAAATGTACCAACTCATATTCAGTCCACAAATTAGCAAACGCTGCATAATACTCCTGAATCCTTTTCTCCCCTTGATAATAGGAAAATATATCAATTTCAATTTGATATTGCCTAGAGAGATTTGATTGTTGATAAACCTTTTAAAGATATTGAAACATTTCATATGCAGTCCAATACCCACACATAGGGATCAGTGATTTAAAAGGCACGCCTAGGTGCACAGGCGAGGCGCATTTTAGGGTATGCCTCGAGGGGACTTGTGTGAGAACTAAAATCATCATTTTTAAGACCTAACGTGGACTTGTTTGGGCTTGCCTCGAGGGGCGTGGCAGAAAGGCAGCTTGGAGAATCAGGAATGTAATATGTTTTACATTACATTAGCTACTTGAAGTAATGCAATTGAGTGAAAAAGGAGATTAGAGGTTTTACATGCTTGAAAATGTTTTATATGTTTGATTTTATTTTTAAATTCTCATTTGGATACGCTTTACATCTTATGTTTATGTATTTTAATTTTAGATAATAGGTTTTTTAAAACATTTGTTTTAAAATTTAAGTTTATATTTTTTATTAGTATTATGTTCAATATTTTTTTTTGAATTTTCTGACATTTTTTTTATTTTTTAGCATTTTTTTGTATAGTCTTGCATCAAAAAGGCATGCACCTCGCCTTGTGCCTCAGGTGCAAATTGACCCCTGCGCCTTTTTTGCGCCTTGCGCTTTTAAAACACCGATAGGGATAGCAATATCCACCTTAATCGGCCCAAGAATCCAAGATGCAATATTGGCTTTACCCTTACAAATAACCCCACAATCCCTTGCCTTAAACATGGAATTGGAAGTGTAACTTCCATAATGCATAGTTGGTACCATCGAACTTAACAACACAGCATAATGCTCCTGGATCTTTTTCTCCCCTTAATGATAGGAAAACGTATCAGTTTCAATTTGATATTGCCTAGAGAGATTTGATTGTTGATAAACCTTTTAGAGATATTGAAACATTTCATATGCTTATCAATACCCACACATAGGGATAGCAATATCCACCTTAATCGACCCAAGGATCCAACATGCAATCTTGGCATTACCCATCTAAATAACCCTACAATCCCTTGCCTTCAACATGAAATTGGAAGTGAAACTTCCATAATGCATAGTTGGTACCATCAAACTTGATAGGTAGGATCAGTTTTCTCTAAGGCCATTTCAGCACAAGACTAAACAAGTAAAAGAGAGGTAGCAGCAAAAAACACTTCCAAGGCTTACCCTACAACTAGAGAGTAAATCAGCAAGAAGAAACCAACCTGAACTTCAAGGCGGAATTTCAGCAAACACCTAGGCAAAACTGAACAGTTCTTCCAGAAACTTGTAGAGGCAAATATTATAACTTCCAAGATTTTTTTTTTTCTGGAGGAAAACTAGCTTATCTAAAGAAAAACAACACCACCAAGGAGATTAAACACTGCCGCCTGTCCAGATATGGTAACTGTAACAAGTAACAGCCCGAAGAAGAGATCAAAACTCTTCCAGATCAAAATCAATATACCAGCAGAATACGGGAGTAAGAGGAGAAGATCAGGGTGACCCAAAAACTCAAGTTTCTGTAGACTCAAACCTCTAGAATTTGAGAAGGATAAGAACTCCCAACACAGAATGCACAATCTTTAGGAAAATGGCACGTTAGGGCTGTACAGCCCTGTGAGAATTCCACTAACAAGAGTAATCGTACAGGGAAGATTCCTAAAAGAACAATTCAGAGGCAAGAGAAACAAGTCAAATGAAGACCTGCTCTGATACCATGTCAAAGTAGGATGCAAGAGAAGAAAGGTGAGAGAGAACAGTATGGGTGTGTCTCAACTGACTACACACCCAGAAATAGATATTTATACTAAATACATAAAAGGACAAGTCCTTCCTCAAGATACAAATAATGTACTAAAAATGTACAAGAAAATGAATCTAGTGTACAAGGAGTATAATATAAATATGCTCCCAATATACAGAAAAAAGTGAAAGACAAAATTAACCCTCTTTGTCTCTACGGGTTGTGATTGATATCCACCACCCAACTTGAGGGGAGTTCTTTAGTAGTCTATATTCATCTACATTTGGTGCAAGATTATTTTTGTCTTTTCCCTGTTATGTTTCAAACATATATCATTTGAGTGTGCACCACCCAACTCATTGTTTTGTCTTATCTTTTTCTTCTTCTCTCATTCTCTTCTCTATCAGTCTCTTAATGTCATTATTAGTCTTGGATTATTTGTTCTTTCGCATGTTCACCTTTATATTTGAATATGGTATATATACTAATATCAATAATAAAAGAAAATTAATGAAATCCATTATAAGAAATTCCTAGTAGACATATTTTATCGATTTTGTCATTTCAACTTTGTCTTCAAACCTCTAATTGTCTAATTGTAAATATCCATTACCATCTGTTGTACATTGGATCTTTTTATAATGAATAAAGTATTTATGTCCCCATGCTTGAGAAACTAGTCTGTATATAATATGTGCCTCACCCTGTCAGTGTCATTAAATGAAAGACATTACACAATAGAAAGGTTCGACCTTTTAAATTATCAACATCAAACTACAGATTGACCATGCCATAAACTGAGTGTCATCTAATACATCATCTACTAGCTAATTTCAAATAATCTTAGGAAAAAAAAACAGTGATTATAAAACTTGTATGTTGGTTAAATGTCTATAATCTTGTTATCTCACATCAGAAATTTCTGTAATCCAGTGTTGCTTTCATAAAATTCCAATTGGCATCAAATCAACTAGTGTTTTGATGCCCATTGGAATCTTATGACTTTGTGAGGCTCGGCAACTTATGACTTTGTGAAACCTTTGGCATGGGTTTGTTATTTAGGCAGCAAAGATATGCAATAATTTGGTGATGGCAGTGAGTATGCTCGGGGTGTCAGAAGCGTTTTGTCTTGGTCAGTCTTTGGGAATTACTGCAAATACATTAACAAAGATATTCAACTCTTCAAGTGCCCGCTGTTGGAGTAGGTATCATATATTTTCCTTAACCCTTCTTACTGATAACATTTTGTTTTGGTAATTCTTCTTGCTGATAACATTTGATAAATCCAAATTCACAAGACATAGTTTCTTGAATTGTGTAGCAAGATCAGATGTCCTAAGGGGCACCTTTTGCAGATGACCCAGAAAAAAGAATGAGCCAATAGCAATAATATACAATTAAACTGGGGCACTGAGATTTTTCCATCATCTTAAGAGAATTTAAAACTTCCTGAGATTCTAAAAGCATCTATTTCTCTTGATTCAATAACAATAATATACAATTTAAAACTCTATCTATTTCAAAATCCCTAAAGCATCTATTTAATCAAAAATTCCAGGGCCAGGTGTAGTACCTGAAGACAAAACAGAAGTACTTAATGCCACTTTGAGAAGGGAGACAAAATACATTCCTGGAAATCTGAATGCTAAGTGTTATTCATAAGTGTCCATTTCCTCTCATTCAACTTGCTAATCCCCTTGCTCCTACAGATTTGTATTCATATATCAGATCCCAATAAATAAGATGGTCCTTTTCTGAGTTTATTACTGAATGGTACAGGGAACCTAAGAAACTTCAATCTTCTTGAACCATGGTTTAAAATATCCCTAATTTCCCTAATATTTCCATGACCATTTCCATTTCCATGGGTAGCAACATGGAATTTTACCAGAATTGACATTTCCCCAATGAACACTACCAGCATTATGTGGAGTACAAGAGATACTTTGCACGGCTTATTTCCATTTCCACTTCCATGGGTAGCGACATGAAATTTTACTAGAATCAACATATTTCCCAATGAACACTACCGGTACTATGTGGAGTCCAAGAGATAGTATTATAACATAATTTGGTGGTAATATTGTAGAAATGAAGTAACAATTGTTATTGTTTGCCTAACTTACATGATTACCACTTGGAGCTAGCTCAATATTCATTTCAAACATGAAGTTAAATATTACTTTTTTGCTTGTGTAATAGATTATTTGGTTGATCTATTACAACCATTTACATTTTCTATGAGTTAAAATTTTGCTTTATCATGAAGCTTTGAATCTTAAGGTTTACGGGGAAACTTCAGAACGTATTCTTTTGTCTATAACGTTAGTTTCTTAGCTTTGTTTAATGATTTGGAACAAGACAATAATTTAAAAAGGTGTGACTAAGCTTCTTTTATCATTTCATAAAATATCATTCTATATTTTGCATATTTTCCAATGTTTGCACCATGTCTATAAGTTTTACAACATTTTCATACGATATTTCCGACATTTCTGATATGTTTCTTATATTTGGATGACCAACATTTCCACCGACATCGACATTTTAAACCCTGTTCTTGATCACCTTAGTTGGTGCTCTGGATGCCAAGAACAAATATTCTTGAGGGTGTCATTGTTCTCGGTTTCTTCTTGGAGGGTTGTTGGCATAATGTGTGTTGGGTTTAGTTCATTTACTTTTTTTGGTATATTAGTGGTGTTTTGGGGTTTATGCTTTTTTTTCTCTTTATGATGTCTATTCTGCTTATATTGTGTTTGTTTTCTAGGTATCGGGTTTTACTGTATATCTGATGTAAAAGAACTTATCAGAAAAAAACTTAAATATGAATTGCCACTACTTTTTATAGAAAAAATGTGAGAGAAGTATCAAGTTGGCTTGAGATCAATTTCAAGCCATTACCAAAATTCTTGACAAATCCTCCTAGATCAGAATCTAGGGTTCTGGACTGCTGGTCCCCTTGACCATATGGTTGTTGATGTCACCCATATGGCAATGATGTCAGCATGTGGTCTGTGTGATCACTTTGGTTTCTTTGTCTGGATCAGTCTGATCTTTGCTCTGATAGCAAGTGGAAAGTGTAGAATGGATGCAAAAGAGAAGAAAAGTAGAACTAAAAAAGAAAGAATTAAAGGAGAAAGTTTAGAGAGAATAATGAATTACATTAGTTTGTTTACCTACTCAGTTTTATTATTTATTGGGTTTGCATAACAAGAGGTGAAAGAACAATTATACCCATAATTTACAAACTCACATCCATCTGTCTATATTTCTCTACAACTAGCTGAGGAATTAGGAGTTTCAGTTCTTCTATGGTAGTTACAACATGGTTTGTAATTTCAATATCAATGGGCATTTCACCATGTAGAGATGGAGATATCTCAGAGATATTTCGTTAATTTCACTATGATATATGGAAAATCTAAAAAAACAGGAAAGTTTTCCAGAAACATGGCAATAGTTAATAAACCTTTAAGGAATCATTATAAAAAGTATAGTTGCACCTTTAAGGCTCAAAAAACATAGCAAAGAACTGTATAAATCAAATAGGAGAAAATTAGGAGACTTTAATAGGTACCTTTCTCTATCTCTCTTTTTGCCTTTTAGCCATATTCTCTTCATTAAATATGTCAATTACTTGCCATTTTGACCTGTCTTTTTCGTTACTAAATGTTTTGATTAGGTTGAGAACACTCTTTGTAGTTATATGCATTTTCTACTTCTTTTGAATTATAGCGACTTAGTAAGTGAATCATATGAAAATAGTAAGCCAATTATCCAGTCACAAATTCTCCTTTGGTTCTTGTAGAAAAATACTTTGAAAAAATTATGATGATTGTAATGAAATATTGGAAAGTTTTTAATAATACTCTAAAGTTTTAAATCTTAAATATATAGTCTTTCAATGAAATCTAAAATATCGCTGACATATCGGCAAAATATTGGAGATATTTGTGAAAAGAAAGATTCCCGGAGAATTTTGTATTGCTACTTAGCAAAATGAGAAATATCAGGGATATTTTGCCAAATATCGCTGATATTGTAAACCATGGTTATGACTCCAAGTCTTCAGATGCATATCCTCCAACAGATTTCAAAGAGGATTATACCCACAATAAGTCTTTGTCTTAGGCACCAGCAGAAATAGATGGATCTTTCAGAGAATATCTATTGAATGTTCCATCCTGAACAACCCCTTAACTGTCCAAGTAAAATAAGTTCACATATCATTAACATCTCCTGGGATGTTATTGAAGCATGAATTTAGCCTCATATGGCTTCAACTATGCAAGTCTCCCAATTAATGCGGGTTTATATTTTTTATCAGGTAATGCAAATGGTGTGGATCATCTTTGTATCTATCTATCTTAACATGATGCAATCATTCCAATTTCTCACTCACTATAGCTTGGGTGATTATTATTTATTCACTTTTTAATTTGTATATCACCACTTATTTTGCAATTTGGGTTTATCCATAAGTGCCAACTAAATGTTGGAAATTCTTTTATCTGAATCACCAGGAGGGCTGTGTATTTAGATGAGTTGTTGTCTTTCTCTTGTACTGTTAAGAAAGTTTTATCTAAATCATCACTTAAGTTGTCCACTAAATGTTGAAGTTTAAACTTCATTTAGTTTTCTTTACAATTCATGGGAAGGTTGACAGAGGCTTGTAAAATGCTTCATTATCTTTAGGTACTAGCTACTTTATCAAATATTGTTTTCATCACTGACATGCTATCAAGATATTCAAATTTTACAGTGGTTTGGTTAGTTTGCTGAAATGCTCATACATGGCAGTGACACCTACAATCCAGTTCCTGGAGTGATGGAAGATGTGCCTTCTTCAAGGAATTACACTGGTGGATTTTCATCCAAGCTTATGGTATGCTATTATGATTTTCTTGCTAAGTTATAAGTAAATATTTGGTCACTGAAATCATTCTAGGAATAATGGTAGCATTGAGCCTTTGGGATGTTTCCTATCAAATACGTTTGGGATTGCTTATTTCTAGTTCATTATTTAGGAGTTTGGAACCTCATCTATTTATCCTACACTTTGATGGGAAGTAGTATCAAATGTACTGTATGTGAAATTTATATCATCCAACATTTTCCAACCACTAATTGTAATATCAATTATCTGTCATTTAACATCTAATACTTGGTGTTGTTTGGTGTTAATTTCCATCCTAGAGCTTGGTCCACTATTGGGACCACCATAGCAGTGCTTGGTGGACTGAACATGAATTTTGGGCAGCGGGTACCACAAAACCTGCTGTCAGACACTTGTTTTCTGACATTAGTTACATATTCCAGTCAAAGAGTGGTTTGTCTTCTTATAGCTTATAATGTATGATGCTGTTCTAAAGGGATCCTGGAAACAAAATCCTTGTTCCAATCATGAAATCTTGAAGAAAACTGAACCTGGAGCCTGCTTTTGTCAAGGGCCATTACTCACTGTTTTCTCTGCTACCTGGAGCCTCAGGAGAGGTGGACTGGATACAGACCTAACATTTGGCTTTCTGTACATGATGTGGCTGCTGTTGGACTTGAATCCACATTCTTATAGTTTTCAGCTTAAGATTTTACCACTGCACCAAGCAATGGCCCCTTACTTTTGTTCGTAAGGACATGATTGCCTGATGTTGAGATATTCCTCAAAGGATGTGTTGACTGATTTACCTGATTGTAGGACCTTTCTGAAGATATTTTGTGTTTTTTTTTAATCTTTTTTGAAGACTTGGTTCCAACATTCTGTTTGAGAGCCTAAAAGATTATTACTTTATATGATGTAGGCTAAAGACTTAAGTCTTGCAGCAACATCAGCCAATGAGGTAGGCCTCAAATGTCCATTGATGCATCAAGCACAGGAAATGTAAGTTGTCTTGAACTTGTAAAAGATGGTTTATCTGGATAAATGGCCTAGCCCTACAAAATGTTGTTGAACCTCTAAGTGATATATTTGGARAATAATATTAAATTAATTCTTATTTTATGAATACAGACTCCAAAGTCGCACATTTAAGTCAGTTTATCTAGTTTAAGAGACTGTAAAATACATGTTAGATTACAGCCTGTCTTAGTCCAATTCACATATGATCAAAACTGTCTTAACACTTGTGGCATTTCATAACGTGTATAGTGAAGGGATGGGATATCCATCACATGGATGCCCAAGTCTTGCGGAATGGACTGGGCGAATTTCAAAAATTTCTCCCATCTTTGCAGGGAATCGAATTCCCTATTTTAGAAAAACATATTTTTCAATGATCAATCTTGAACCATGAACCAAACCAGATCTGAACCAAAAGGAGTAGGA